CGACGCGCGCCAAAGCATAAGTGATGTCAAAGTGTGTACAAAGAGTGAAGCAATAGTGCGTTTAATGCTATGTGCTATAGTGTCTCTGTTAATGTTGATCGCTGACGTTTATAGTGGTAGTTATTCACCAACTCAAAGAATGGCTATATGAACGCATGAGAATATTCTTGACCTGCGAAAAAAAGTTCGTTCCGAAATGCCTCATACATTCGTATAGCAACAAAAGAGACTCAAGAAAAAAGTGAGCATAAAAGTGTCCCATGATTATGGGGCACTTTTATTCTCACTTTATTCATGGGACTCTTTTATTCAATACAAATGTATGAGGCGTTTTAGTTGTGCATTTTGACTTGAGGCTTTTTTATGATAATTTTGATAACAAGGAATGCGAATTTCGATCTGGCGATAGCACCAATGGATTGGGCACAATAAATACTGTATCAAAATCGAAAAAAAAATTTTTAACTCTTTTTTCGATTTACGGCTGTATTGCGACCGTCTACATGGGAAGTTTGTATGAAAACCTCGGAGCGCCGCTGGTATTGCATTGGCTTCTATGGCCAAATGTACACATGGATATATCTCAGAAACGGCTGGGTTAATCGGCAAAATGGACCGTGATGTCACTCCCAAAGGGAGTGTAAACACCCGGCTGGTTTGACGGCCCAGAATACAAATCCGGTGGAATTTCGGCTGATCCATGGATTCTCAGGATTCGACCTGATTCTAGCACTTCAATTTCTTTCATAACAAAACATAGGTAGAATGTGTTTACAAATGCACATAAAAAAGGAAGCACAGGAATCTGGCCAAATCCAGAGAATCCATGAATCAGCCGAAATTTCACCGGATTTGTATTCTAGGCCATCAAACCAGTCGGGTGTATACACTCCCTTTAGGGAGTGACATCACGGTCCATTTTGCCGATTTACCCAGCCGTTTTCGAGATATTTCCATGTGCAAAAATTTAATAATATTATATTCAATTGCATTGGCCTATATGGAAAAAAACTCGAGCGTCGAAAACTTATGCTATTTCGCTCACACTTATGTGCAATTTTCAAGTGTATTATAATTAGTTGTTCGACGAACAACTCAGTTGCTTGCTGGTCCGATGCTGAAAATTAACGCGCAATAGACATTGCACACACAAACGAGATTGTGCATGTTCTGGCAACGTTGCTTTTTAAGCGAATATGAATGAACGTAATGATAAATTTACGCCAAATCTGTAATGTATTACGCTCGAGTGGTGGTTAGTAAAAGAGACTTTTATTATATGTCAAACTGCTATTTATACATTTCGATTAACATGAAGTTGGTTAGTCGTTGTCAGTACAAACAGTAGTACTAGTTTCGTTGAGTGTTAAAGTAGATTCGTATTTATCAAGCATACACAACATCTCTCTCCTTAAGTTGGAAATATTACATCGATTTGAAATTTGTGTTTAACATAAATAAATGTAAATTGCTTCCAGAAGGGAAAAATGTTAGTAACAATTTTAAATTCTTATGACTATCTCTCCTCCTCACAAAAGTTGAATTCTTATCAAATAACAAAATCATTTGAATTATGAAACTAACTTGAATTTAAAAAAAATTTTGTGCAGAGAAAAAAAATAGTATGGAATGTTTCAAATATTCAAAGTATGAAAATAAAAATTATATATTCTGAATGAAAAAAAAAATACTGAATTGAAAAAAAAAAAATAACCGTATGATAAAAAATCGAATGAAAATGAATTGCTGCACTGATTGAATTATTTGTTGTTGCTGCGTGATCTCAGTTTCATGCGATGTGCAGTACGTTTGGGTTTCTTGGCGTTTTTCGGTTGAATTGCACCATCCTTCCGAGTTTCGTCCACTATCGCAGTTGCATCCATCGGCGCTGCCGTGTCATGTTTCGGCACAACTGCCCCACTCTCACTGATTGTATCGCTTTCAGTATTGACTTGTGCATTAGCTTCTTTATCAACAATTCCCCTTATTTGATCTAAGTGGCGTTTAATAACTCTACCACTATGAACAAATTTGCAAAGATACGATCGCGGGCCAATTATTTCAGAAATTATTGCTTTTTCCCAAGTTGGATTATTAGGATCGGAATAATCGCGAATGATGACAATATCATCGATATTAAATTGAATCTCACGATGACCTTTAAAATTTTTAACGGCTTTTTGTTGACTTTCAAGAATATTTTCTTTAGTTGTAGGTGGTCTAAAAATATTAAATCTTGTTCGCATTTCCCTATTGAACATTAATTTATATGGTGTTTCTTTCGTCGTGCAATGTTTTGTTGCTCGGTAATCGGCTAAAAATCGATTAATTATTACATCAAAGTTTTCCGGTTTTTTATCGTGTAAATTCGCGTAAATCGACTTTTTAAACGTCTTAACAGAATTTTCCGCTTGTCCATTGGATGCGGGATGTCCTGGTGGAATCAAGATTTGTCTGATGCCATTCATTGCAGCAAAGTGTTTGAATTCTTGCGATGTGAGTTGCGTACCGTTATCGGATGCAATCACCTCGACCAATCCAAAACGACAAAAAGTTTCACGCAAGTGTTTGATCGTTACGGCTGATGTGGATGAAGTGGTTTTGAAAACTTCTATCCATTTGGAAAAAGAATCGACAATAATTAGGAAAAAAAATCTTTTAATCGGGCCAGCGTAGTCGATGTGAATGCGCGACCAAACTGAATCAGCTGGTTCCCATGAAATTAACTCACTACGCTCAGGATTTGGCAAAACCTTATGACATGATTCACAGCCTTTAATCAATTGCTCAATATCGAAATCTAATTTAGGCCACCACACATAAGAACGTGCGAGCGATTTTGTTTTCACAATGCCTAAATGTGATTGATGTAGAACTTGTAACACTTTCTCACGCAATTTGGTTGGTATTACGGTACGATAACCCCATAATATGCAATCAGCTTCCACCGACAATTCCAAATGTCGATGCCGAAATGGCTCGAACTCAGTACCGGTGAGACGTTGTACTGTTCCAAAATTGATTGCTTCCAACAATTTGGATAAAATAGGATCACGACGAGTTTCGACAGCTATGTTTTTGAAATTCAATTGTAACACATTATCGAAATCGGCGTACATTATGTAACTACAATCCATGGAATTGATTGTGTCACATTCCATCAATTGAGGCATGTGAACGGATTCACCAAGAGATGACGCGCCAATAGTTCCATTTGCA